ATCAACGTTGAAAAAACAGTAACGTAGTTAATTAAACTTCCTTTTTCCCCCCATTTTTTTTGGTATGAAGTAAGACTTTGATCTGCAGCAGTAGAAGCCAAAGCCAGGATTCAAAACCCTTCCTTTGGCGCCTATTTAGGTGTCCTCATATCAAAGCGCTGAGTGTGCAACCACTGTCAGCGAGGTCAGGAGTCAGACTAAACGTGACATTTCTGAACCGTTAGTCTGGAGAAAAGCACGTAAACTCTAAGAGAAGCATCTTCTTTGTATTTATTGCCTTTTCCCAAGCTCCAGGAAGCACTTGTTTGCAATGTGTGTGAAATGACAAGCCTAAAAATAAAAAAAAAAGTGTCTTAACCAGTGGGGCTTCATGCCAGTGCAGACGGCTGGATAAGCAGCTGGGTTTCTAGTTCTTGCATGTTCCTTCTGGAAACTTGAATGCTGCTTTTAAAATAAAACAGTTGAGGGACAGTTAACACCATTGTGCAAAGACCTAAACTGCAGAGACATATTAAATTCGTTGGAAAGACTGTTTTAGATGTATCACGTGGTCAGATACAACAGCACTTCAATTTAGGAGGCACACGTGTAACTCCCAGCATGTGAACCCAAACATCTACAGCAAACCAAACAGTAAGAAACGTAACCCACCAAGCCAGGGTGAAACTAAAACACACCAAAACAACTTCCTATCTTTTCAGAATTGCTTTTAATTCAATTCAAGTAATTCAAAGGAGAAGAGGGAGTTTGGACCTGAAAGCTGGTAAGACCTTGCAGCTCGCCTGTGGCCACAGCTCCCTCTGCAGTCACCTGCCTGATATGCCCGAATCAGCTGCACTTTACTGTTAAGAAACCAAACCCTAACAGATATATGGTGTGGCTTTGGTTTTTATCCTGAAAGCCAAGTGCTGGAGACCCAGATTAATTTCTAGCCATGAATTTCCACTGGTGGGGCATGTGCTTTAGAAACCTGTGACTGCAGAACCTCTGCTGGCTGGGATGAGTGGAAACAAGAACAAGAGAGCACTCACCAGGTAGATCCCTCACACAGGAGGTCACATTTGCATGAACTGATGAAGAAGCATCCTTTGGACTCCAGCCCTTGCTCAAATATCCCGGGAGTAAGTGCTTGTAGACCCTTACTCTCCCAGGGACATAGTCCTGCACCCATGAGCGTGTAGCTTTGTTGAGAAGGAGCCAAGAAGCCCTGATGGATCTGGCTCTGCTCTGGGTCATTTTGGGGAGGCGTGTGTGTGTGTGTGATCAGACTCCTTGGCATTGCTAGGATGCAGCTGAGCTGGTCTTGCACACAGCCAAGGGGAGTTTGCCTAAGGATAGCCCTCCCCAGGCTCTGGAGTATCCTCAACCTATTGTTATAGGAAGGAGAAAGGATCTCCCAAAGACTCTCTAATCAGGTGGGACAACTGCTGAGTTTAGATCATCTGCGAGGTCTTTGACGGGTTTGTTCTTCTGAAAGAGGAAATGCAAGCCTATATCTGTAGGCAGGCAGGCAGAAATTCTTAAAAACAAAGCTAAAGTTCTTCCTTTCCTTCTCTGTCCCAGCCACAGTAAGAGACATTCACAGTCTGGAAACGCTGGGAATCTGACGGACACCTGTCGCTCTTCTCCGTGGTCACAGCTCCCTCTGCACTCAACTCAGCTACACCAGTAAGGCCAGGCAGTGAAGTCTCTCCACGGATCCTGTGTCACGAGTGAGACGGCACACTCTAAATCCTCACAGAAATCCCAAGGAGAGCACCAGCCAGCCTGAGAGCCAGCGCTCAGCGAAGCCAACGGAGGAGCCCACGCAGCAAGCAACGACCAGCGGCACATGGCACAGCCCCCCAGGAGGGCCAGGGTTATACAGAGGGCATGGGAAGAGATACAGGAACCAGGATATTCAAAATCACCCACTGAGCAGGGCTGGGCATCTGTCTGAAAGACTCCTCCTTGTCAGACTTTTGGTGTTGTGGTCAAACCAGAGGCTACCAAGAGGACACGCCTGTCTGCAGGTGGGAACCGCAGCCCAGACACCTCACCCCACCCCCAAGGGTTTAGGACCAACGCAATAACTGTGCTCAAACCTCACCTTGCTCAGAAAGAAAGGTGACAGACAAGAAAACCTATAGTCGCTGTGGGAAGAGGAAGAAGTGCAAAACCTTCCTCCACATCATGTTGTCATGCATGAAATAACTGCAACAGCTTTGACTTGCAGCCTCTTGTCTAGGCAGTCCCCTGGGGGAGAAGATTTTGAGCCTTGTGACAGGACTGTACCTGGTCTCTGGTCTCAACCAAGCGACCTCCTGAGCTGCAGGGGAACAGAGCAGAAGGAGCCGTGAGAGCCCATCGGTGCCACCTTCGGTGCTGTTTCGGCACCTTCTTCAGGTGGAAGGGGGGAGTGGGAAAGACCCGAGGATTGCTGGTTTGCACTGGGGTGTTCAACGACTCGCCCCCCCACCAGAATTTCCGAGTGGCAGAAATAATACAACGCAGCCCTCGAATGCCGTTTCGCTCTGATTTAATCTGTATTTCAAAAAATAGAATCTGAAAGCAAAAGAATCTTTCAGAAAGCAAGGAAAAACATTGTGAAAGGGGAGGGGATAATTTCAGTGCACGTCGCTCCACCCGGCCACCAGTGCATCCTGAGGAGCATCCAACCACCTCCCCGACCTGGCAGCACCAAAAAGCACCTTCTCCCAGACCCGCCGGACTCAAAGGAGGACTCCCTCATTTCTCACAGCCTTGGATCAGTTGGGCAAGGCCAACGGGAGACTGGTTTACTGGCCCGGTAGCTCCCAACCCTGTCAGCCACATATTTCATTTGTGCCAGTGCTGCTCAGGAAGATTTGATGCCACACCAGGTCGTGTTTGAGGAACTCTACTAGCGATCATGTTCCAGCCCATCAATCCCATTTTTCTGTCTGCGTGTTGCTGCTTCCCCTTTATCCAGTTCCTCACACCGCTGATTCTGCTGGTGCCAATATTCCTGTCTTCATCAGCTGTACTAATAACTTCCCATGTGAGCTCGTACTGAGGGCTTGCCTGAAACTCTGATTCATTTGATTTCTCTTGCATAGAAAAGGAAGTTGGAAACGTTAAAAACCATACCTTTGCATAAACTCCTGAAGAAAATCTTACGTTAGTACAACATCACTCCAAAGGTATGCCACGTGAGAAACTTTTAAAAAACAAGAGTGTGAAAATATCAAGAAAATCAAGGTGTTCTTTCAAGACCTTAACTCTTCAATGTCTAAGATAACCACAGCAAATCTCTGTTTTTCTAGGTTACATTTTCTTTCACATACATCAGCTGTTCAGCCTCAGTGCAATTATTTTGTGTTAGCGTAAAATTACTCGCGATGCAGCATTTGGCTAAGTTACCGATACAGAGGTCAACAAAGCACACCGAGCTCTGCCTGCCGAGGAAGGGTCTGCCCTCTCCGAGCAGGGAAGCTCATTTTCAGGCACGTGTTTTCCGTCCCGTTCTTCAGAGGTTGTTCTACAGGTTAATTCTTTCCCCTTGCACAAGCCGTGCTCGGAAGCTCCAAACATCCTTCAAAACAAAAATAAGAGAGAGGAAAAGCCTTAAGGGCCAGCAAAAACAGTGACCAGGATTCCAGTTTACAGAGAGGGAAATAGATCCAGCATTCTCAGATAGCTACCTACCCACAAAAACACACCAAAACATTTACTGAACATCATTTCAAATCCTAAATATCAAGAACAAAAATACAGCCCAAACTAAGGAAGAGGTGCAGCCTCCACCTCCAGGAGACGGGTTGTTTGCAGGTACTACACGGATGGCAAGAGGCCCATGGTTCAAGTCTGGAAGGCGGTAGAGGAGGAAACATGAGCAGCACGGAGAACATCACCCTTGCACAAGTCACCCTCGCCTGCTGGTGCACACAGGGCCTCCCTTGTGCCCCTCTGGGTGACCAAAACGCTCACCAACTGACTGCACCTCGCGTGCTGCTGCCCATGAGCAAGCGGTATTCCCTGTGCAGCAGAAACCAGCAGGAAACAACGGACACGAACGCAGGGCCTCAGCCAGGAATTCGGTGCTGGGCAGGTGTTGCTGAAGATTGTAAAGCAGAGAAGACCACGACTGCGTCACAGAGGTCAGTCCTGGGCAACCTCCTACCTCAGTTTCCCTGTGCGGGGACTATAGTTCTTATCATCAGTCTTGTGAAGGTGAAATACAAGAGCTGTGCGCTCCTCTGGGAGAAAGCTCCCATCGTGGTTAAAAAAAGCTTAAAGCTACACAAAAACACAGAGACACCTCTGAGGCTTGTATGGGCACAACCTCATTTCCACTCAGGAGAAGGAGAGAGCCTCACTGCGCATCACTTCAGATGTCACCATGTACCTAAATAACTCCAGGGCTCAAAAGCTATAACTTTACAGACAAAAAGTAAGATCAGGCTTGCAAAACACAGCTGGACACCCCACCGGACCCAGGCACACTGTGGAGAAAAGCAAAACAAAACAAAAATCCCAAAGGTGAAAAAGAAAGTCCTCTCCTCCAGAATGCCCTTGATATTGTAATATCTATAAAATACGTAAACTTTAAAAGAAAAATCGCTGCCTATTACATCTAGACTTTGCTGCCTTGATACTGGCTGTGCACGTGTTTGGGAACTGCTGTGGATTAAGAAATTCAGAATATTTCCACCCCAGTAACAAGGTTTATTTCTCTTTCAGTGGCTGAATCCCTGAAGAATTTAGATTTGCAATTTTAGACAATGGTTTCAGTTGTTCAGCAAGACTCCATTAACCCCCCCCTTTTTTTTTTTTTTTGAGGCAGATGTCTGTTGCTGCTGACACACCTGCTGGAGCCTCAAGTCTAAACAATTGATGTGGGATTACATTTAACCAAAAAAATTCACCCTACAGTTGCAGTCAGATGTGGATACTTGTTTTAAAAGGAAAATCCACCAGCCATTAGGAGGGGAAACTGTAAGAACTGTGGAAGTCCCAGCTGTGGACGAGTACTGAATTTATCGTACCTTCTTACACTTGCAAATTCAGGGCAAGAGGTGACCACAACTTCTGATTCACATCGTTCAGCCCAAACATAACTGCAAAGACCTCTGGTTCAGACACACTCCCCAAAACAAACCACGAACCAGGAGATGCAGCAGCTTGCACAGACTTCACCCTATTCCTGCCTTGTCCCGTCAGCCCTCCCCGCTGCTACCCAGCGGGGCAAAGCCCAGACCCCCTGGAACGGTGTCAGCAGCGCGTGTGAGCAGGCTCAGAGCTGAGCCATCACGACAGCGGAGTCTGTGGCTCCTCCTCACTTAGGCCACAACATCAGTCGCGGTCGCACGACGAGGTGCTGATGTAGTCACCAACGCAGGGACCCAGGCGTCCTCACACACCCCATTCTGACAAGCGGAGCTGGAGGAGGAACTTCCAGAGCTCCCGGGATGCGAAGGGGCTGCCCGGAGAGCAAGGCCACTTCTCCAGCAGAGCGAGAAGCAGCAAAAAGGCCCCTCGAAAAGCCTGCCAGTCATCCTCCGAACATCAGGTTTTTATCCTGCCACGTACCTCTACTTGGCACAGCTTGATCTGCCAAACTGGGCAGAGCAAAAAGCACAAATCTGTCACACGGGAGAGACTTAGAACTGACCTGGATTGTAACAAAAGGCACACAGCCCAGTCTTACCTTGAGTGTCACAGAAGTCACGTCGTATTTCTTGTGAGCCATTTCTACTATTTCTTTCTCCACGTGCTCTTGGGTTGTGTTCTTGACGTCAATGTAGTAGCACTCTGAGCTGGCGAAGTGACAGCTTATACTCTGCGTGAGGAAACTGGGCATCACTCACTGCCACGTGGATTACAAATGATCGGTGGAAAAAACCTCTCGTGCCTCCCAGATCACGGACACCTTTCCTTACAGATCGTGTCAGCAAATTCCTTCCTCCTTTCCAAGCATTCCTTCTGTCCTGAGTGTCCCCTTGGAGAAATACTCTTGCTAGAGGAATACTCTTGCTTGCTGATGTGCTCTTCTTCCTTCCCTCCTCTCCCAAACACTCCCCCAGCATGAACTGTACTACTCGATCTCAGAACATAAGCAACTAGAGTGGGAATAGGGAAAGCCAGGGTTGGAGCAGACCTGTGTGTTCAGGAAGGGTTCCTACTTTCTGCACCAAGACAGTCACACCAACCCACTTATTTTGTAATAAGTTCTTGCTTGAGCAGAGTCGAGAGGAAATAAATAGAAATGCCCCACCAGAAAAAGCTGTTCTCTCATTGCAGGAGCTATGCCAGCTGCAAGCGAGATCATGCCAGATGTCAAAGGGTACTGGACCATTTGCTGGCTCAGAGAGCTCCAGGATACTCACTGATTTACCCCAAAGGCAGACAAATGTTGAGATTTGGGACAGTATGAGGAAGCTCTTGTGTTTCTGCAGGATACTAAACAGGACTATTGCTCCACTAGCCAGGAAAGAGCCAGCAGATGAGACTCTCAGTACCTGATGTCCTCTCTGCAGATGGAAGGAATTCCACACCAGTAAACTACTACTGGGCCTGAAAGAACAGTCCACATAGTAGTCAATACAGGCAAAAGAAAATTAAAATAGAGGAGCCTGTGTTGCAGTGCATGAGGGGAAATATCTGCATTCGTACTAGTGGCTACACTAGAGGCTACAGTTCCCTTAAGGGCCTGGATGAAACTACTTCTGAGAAAGGATCAGGCCTCCAAAGGAGGGCACCTTTGCCTGTTGGATAATCATGATGCAAAAGAAATAGATGATCACAGAATCACAGAATTGTTTAGGTTGGAAAAGACCTTTAAGATCATCAAGTCCAACCATTAACCTAACACTGCCAAGGCCACCATTAAACCATGTCCCTAAGCACCACATCTACACGGCTTTTAAATACTTCCAGGGATGGTGAATCCACCACTCCCCTGGGCAGCCTGTTCCAGTGTTTGACAGCCCTTTCGGTGAAGAAATTCCTCCTAATGTCCAATCTAAACCTCCCCTGGCACAGATTGAGGCCATTTCCTCTCATTCTGTCGCTTGTAACTTGGGAGCAGACATCGACCCCCACCTCACTACAACCTCCTCTCAG